TCACAACCCCATTTATAAATATGTTAAACAACCATGGTGACATTACACATCCCTGTCTAAGACCTACTTTTACTGGGAAGTAGTCTCCCTCTCCCCTACACACCCTAACCTGAGCCTCACTACCCTCATAAAAACTCTTTACAGCATTTAGTAACTTACTAACTATTCCATACACTTGCAACATCTGCCACATTATTTCCCAATCAACTATCACACGTCTTTTCTAAATCCATAAATGCAATGAAAACTTCCCTACCTTTATCTAAATACTGTTCACGTATATGCCTCAATGTAAACATCTGATCTACACATCCCCTACCCTACTCTCTCTCTCTAACATATAAAGAAAAGAAGGTAGGATAAAACACTGATGACTGAACTGGAGAGCTTACTCCAAGTGAATGTTATGTGAAAAATTAATATAATAAAATATAAATTAAAATACAAAATAAAATACAAATTGTATGTAGTAGGTTGGTAGACAGCAACCACCCAGGGAGGTACTACCGTCCTGCCAAGTGAATGTAAAACAAAAGCCTGTAATTGTTTTACAAGATGGTAGGATTGCTGGTGTCTTTTGTCTGTCTCATAAATATGCAAGATTACAGGTATGTCTTGCTACTTCTACTTACACTTAGGTCACACTACACATACATGTACACGTTTATTTATACACACTCATCTGAGTTTTCTTTGATTTTGTCTTAATAGTTCTTGGTCTTATTACTTTTCCTTTTATATCCATAGGGAAGTGGAACAAGAATCTTTCCTCCGTAAGCCATGCGTGTTGTAAAAGTCAACTAAAATGCCGGGAACAATGGGCTAGTAACCCCTTTTCCCGCAAAGATTACTATAAAGAACAAGAAGAAGAAAATTGTCAAAGTGGGAAGCCTGAATGAGCGTGGATGTTGTGCAAATGATAAGAAAGAGATGATTGTGGATGTTATGAATGAGAAGAAGCTGGATGTCCTGGCTTTAAGTGAAACGAAGCTGAAGAGGGTGGGAGAGTTTCAATGGAGAGGAATAAATGGGATTAGGTCAGGGGTTTCAAATAGAGTTAGAGCTAAAGAAGGAGTAGCAATAATGTTGAAGGATAAGTTATGGCAGGAAAAGAGGGACTATAAATGTATTAATTCAAGGATTATGTGGAGTAAAATAAAGATTGGATGTGAAAAGTGGGTTATAGTAAGCGTGTATGCACCTGGAGAAGAAAGAAGTGTAGAGGAGAGAGAGAGATTTTGGGAAATGTTGCATGAATGCATGGGGAGCTTTGAATCAAGTGTGAGAGTAATGGTGGTTGGGGATTTCAATGCTAAAGTGGGTAAAAATGTTATGGAGGGAGTAGTAGGTAAATTTGGGGTGCCAGGGGTAAATGTAAATGGGGAGCCTTTAATTGAGCTACGTGTAGAAAGAGATTTGGTAATAAGTAATACGTATTTTATGAAAAAGAGGATAAATAAATATACAAGGTATGATGTAGCACGTAATGAAAGTAGTTTGTTAGATTATGTACTGGTGGATAAAAGGTTGATGGGTAGGCTCCAGGGTGTACATGTTTATAGAGAGGCAACTGATATATCGGATCATTATTTAGTTGTAGCTACAGTTAGAGTAAGAGGTAGATGGGAAAAGAGGAAGGTGGCAACAAGTAAGAGGGAGGTGAAAGTGTATAAACTAAGGGAGGAGGAAGTTCGGGGGAGATATAAGCGACTGTTGGCAGAAAGGTGGGCTAGTGCAAAGATGAGTATTGGGGGGGGGGGGGGGGGGTTGGAATAGTTTTAAAAATGCAGTAATAGAATGTGGGGCAGAAGTTTGTGGTTACAGGAGGGTGGGGGCAGGTGGAAAGAGGAGTGATTGGTGGAATGATGAAGTAAAGGGTGTGATAAAAGAGAAAAAGTTAGCTTATGAGAGGTTTTTACAAAGCAGAAGTGTTATAAGAAAAGCAGAGTATATGGAGAGTAAAAGGAAGGTGAAGAGAGTGGTGAGAGAGTGCAAAAGGAGAGCAGATGATAGAGTGGGAGAGGCACTGTCAAGAAATTTTAATGAAAATAAGAAAAAATTTTGGAGTGAGTTAAACAAGTTAAGAAAGCCTAGGGAAAGTATGGATTTGTCAGTTAAAAACAGAGTAGGGGAGTTAGTAGATGGGGAGAGGGAGGTATTAGGTAGATGGCGAGAATATTTTGAGGAACTTTTAAATGTTGAGGAAAAAAGGGAGGCGGTAATTTAATGCACTGGTCAGAGAGGTATACCATCTTTTAGGAGTGAAGAAGAGCAGAATGTAAGTGTGGGGAAGGTGCGTGAGGCATTACGTAGAATGAAAGGGGGTAAAGCAGCTGGAACTGATGGGATCATGACAGAAATGTTAAAAGCAGGGGGGATATAGTGTTGGAGTGGTTGGTACTTTTGTTTAATAAATGTATGAAAGAGGGGAAGGTACCTAGGGATTGGCGGAGAGTATGTATAGTCCCATTATATAAAGGGAAGGGGGACAAAAGAGATTGTAAAAATTATAGAGGAATAAGTTTATTGAGTATACCAGGAAAAGTGTACGGTAGGGTTATAATTGAAAGAATTAGAGGTAAGACAAAATGTAGGATTGCGGATGAGCAAGGAGGTTTCAGAGTGGGTAGGGGATGTGTAGATCAAGTGTTTACATTGAAGCATATATGTGAACAGTATTTAGATAAAGGTAGGGAAGTTTTTATTGCATTTATGGATTTAGAAAAGGCATATGATAGAGTGGATAGGGGAGCAATGTGGCAGATGTTGCAAGTATATGGAATAGGTGGTAAGTTACTAAATGCTGTAAAGAGTTTTTATGAGGATAGTGAGGCTCAGGTTAGGGTGTGTAGAAGAGAGCGAGACTACTTCCCGGTAAAAGTAGGTCTTAGACAGGGATGTGTAATGTCACCATGGTTGTTTAATATATTTATAGATGGGGTTGTAAAAGAAGTAAATGCTAGGGTGTTTGGGAGAGGGGTGGGATTAAATTATGGGGAATCAAATTCAAAATGGGAATTAACACAGTTACTTTTTGCTGATGATACTGTGCTTATGGGAGATTCTAAAGAAATATTGCAAAGGTTAGTGGATGAGTTTGGGAATGTGTGTAAAGGTAGAAAGTTGAAAGTGAACATAGAAAAGTGTAAGGTGATGAGGGTATCAAATGATTTAGATAAAGAAAATTTGGATATCAAATTGGGGAGGAGGAGTATGGAAGAAGTGAATGTTTTCAGATATACTTGGGAGTTGACGTGTCGGCGGATGGATTTATGAAGGATGAGGTTAATCATAGAATTGATGAGGGAAAAAAGGTGAGTGGTGCATTGAGGTATATGTGGAGTCAAAAAACGTTATCTATGGAGGCAAAGAAGGGAATGTATGAAAGTATAGTAGTACCAACACTCTTATATGGGTGTGAAGCTTGGGTGGTAAATGCAGCAGCGAGGAGACGGTTGGAGGCAGTGATGTCCTGTCTAAGGACAATGTGTGGTGCAAATATTATGCAGAAAATTCGGAGTGTGGAAATTAGGAGAAGGTGTGGAGCTAATAAAAGTATTAGTCAGAGGGGTGAAGAGGGTTTGTTGAGGTGGTTTGGTCATTTAGAGATGGATCAAAGTAGAATGACACGGAGAGCGTATAAATCTGTCGGGGAAGGAAGGCAGGGTAGGGGTCGTCCTCGAAAAGGTTGGAGGGAGGGGGTAAAGGAGGTGTTGTGGGCGAAAGGTTTGGACTTCCAGCAAGCGTGCATGAGCATGATAGGAGTGAACGGAGACAAATTGTATTTGGGACGTGACGAGCTGTTGGAGTCTGAGCAGGGTAATATTTAGTGAAGGGATTCAGGGAAACCGGTTATTTTATATAATCGGACTTGAGTCTTGGAAATGGGAAGTACAATGCCTGCACTCTAAAGGAGGGGTTTGAGATATTGGCAGTTTGGAGGGATATATTGTGTATTTTTATATGTATATACTTCTAAACTGTTGTATTCTGGGCACCTCTAAAAAAACAGTGATTATGTGCGAGTGAGGTGAAAGTGTTGAATGATGATGAAAGTATTTTCTTTTTGGGGATTTTCTTTCTTTTTGGGTCACCCTGCCGACTTGTTGAAAAAAAAAAAAAATGAAATTGGCAAATTTTCAATTTTGTGTGAAATTGGCCAAATTACCAATTTCTGATCACTTTACTTGGTAGTTGAAATATGTAAATGAGTGGATTCCTGTACTCAATCAATAGAATAGAAGGAATACTAGGAAAATAGCTACAAGTTTGGGCTACTGGAACAAGGAAATTGTCCAAAAATAGGATTCAAAGTGCACAAAATCGTTCAGACCAATAACTTTGCGAGAGCATAATTCTAAGTTTTCCATCAAACATTGTACCTTTTGGTTTCAGTGCTTTCGGAAAAAGATTCTCTATCATTTCATGAAAATTTTTTTTTTTTTTAATTCTCTGACCCTCAGTAAATTTCTATCAGGGGTTCTGACCCTGAAAAAGTTAAGAACTATGAAGAAAATAAAGCTCAAGATGACTGTTTATATATATAGTTGTCCCTAGGTATCTCCTAAACATCACTTCGTTTGCATGGATCCAGCATAGCGCTCGGCGTGCAGCAAATTCAAATTTTGCTTTTTGGCACTTTCTGCATTTTTTTTTTTTTGAACATTTTCGATTCACAGATAGAGAGGGTTGACTATCTTTCCAAGTATTTTTTGTACCAGTGAAAGTGATTACTGAAATCTATACAGCAGCACAGAAACAGAAGTAAGGTAGTAGTATTTGAATAAAAGCAAGTAAAGCAGCACTTTCAGTAAAATAATAACAATATAATATTAAAATAAGTAACCTTCACATAGGAGACAAACTTATGTTTCAGTTCTTAAGATTCAGTCTCCTATGTGAGACTTATTTTTGTATTGCTCCTGCCATGACATGGTCCCTTTTCATTCTTTAGTAAAAATTAAATTAGTGAGAGTAGCTATGTATAATTGAATACATACCATTTTTATACGATACAGCAAGCTTTTCAAGCTGAGAATAGAGGAAATGGCGAAGACATCTACGTGCCACAATCTCAGCATGGCAGTCATTTATACACTGGCCTTGAAGACTAAGATGTTCACCATTGATACACTTAGTGCCTGTTGCAACACTTATCACCTACAATGGAAAATAAGTACTCCATATATATCTAGTTTGATAAAAATAGTAAGTGTGTATAAAGGTTTTAAAAGCATTCAAACCATCATTGCAGTCAAACCCTGGAATTCGTATGCTTCGTAAGTCACATTATTTGATTACACAGTATAATATTTTTATTGAAGGACATTTAGATAAAAACTTTGATTGTTCATGGTTTATCTTAGTACCCACTGTCTTTGTCCCATGACTGCTACATTGAAAATTTACATATTTCATTCAAAATGTGCTCATTCTTTTTTATTAATGTTAATATCACATATATCAGAGCAATATTTAAAGAGATATGGTCAAAAAAACATTGAAATAACTTGTACATGCAAGGATTACTATTATCCAAGGATTCATGGCACCTCTTGTTACTTAACCCCTGCAAATACAGTTAAATTTCTAAGGAAAACAATAAGCATTACTCAAGATGCAAGATATTTTATTTACTGTTTATCAAGCTGAAGATATGACAGGAAAGAGAAGGATAGGAAAACCAGATTTCCCATGACTAAGAAAACTGTAGACAACAGCCAGAGGGGTAGATTGGGTACAGAGTGGATTAAAGAACATTTGAATTACAAAAGGCAATAAGAGTCAACGAGACAGTAGATATTAAGTCAGCAACAGTGTACAGTGGAATAATGGTTAAAGACCCATACTATTACTTGTGAAATTAGTACCTTGCCAATGAGGGCATTACACAAACAAGAACAAAGTTGAATAAAAAATAGTGGTATATGCTATTACTCTACAAATGTGCTAACCTGGAAACTTGCCACTCAAGTCAGAAATGAATATGCCAATGTAAGGAGAGAAAAGGGAAAAAATACTGGGAAAAAAAAAAAGGACGAGAAATTGTGAACCAAATTTTCTTTCCATTGTTTAAGTGCACGGTGGAACCTTGGCTTACGAATTTAATCCGTTCCGTGGGCTTGTTTGTATCATGATTTGTTTGTATGCTGGGTCAATTTTCCTCATTTAACCCCTTCAGGGTCCAAGGCCCAAATCTGAAGTGGTGCCCCAGTGTCCAAGAATTTTCAAAAAAAAAATTTATTTTTTCTTATGAAATGGTAGAGAATCTTTTTGTGAAGGTAATAAAACAAAAAGTACGAAATTTGATGGAAAATTGACGAAATTATGCTCTCGCGAATTTTGATGTGTCAGCGATATTCACGAATCGGCAATTCTGCCGACTTTGACTGCCATTTTAGGCCAATTACATTATTCCAGTCAACCAAATTCTTAGCTATTTCACTAGTATTACTTCTATTCTATCAATTGAGCACAAGAAATCGCCAAGTCAACTGTTTCAACTACAAATTAAAGTGATCGGAAATTGTTAATTTGGCCAATTTAACACAAAGTTCAAAATATTCCAATTTCAAAATAGGGTCCAGAATAAACAATGTAGGTATTCCTGGAACTGAACTAACATTTCCTCTGTTCATTAGTTACGTTTTGAGGCTTTACAAATAAATTCTATTTTGATTTTTTATTCACATAATGAACTTTTATTCACACCAAAAAATAGAAGATTTACTGTTATGCAATACTGTAATAATTGTATAAATATCATCACCATATTTGTGAATGCATATTAGACCCAGACGTGTGAGGTCGTTCGTTTACTCTTGAATATCGGCAAAAATTTAACATTTCTGCTACTTTGAGCTCAGTTTCAAGCCATTTCCAGTGCTAAAACCAATCAAAATCATCTCTATTTCTGTAATATGTCTTCCATTCTATCAAATGAGACCAAGAAATCGCAAATACAACTATAAAAAACATGAAAAAACACTGCAAAGTCGCTGTTTTAATCGAAAAATCACGATTTCAGTTTTTTTTCTCATTATACACAGTGTGCTGCAGGATCTGTTTTATGTGGTGCACACATACCACATAGATGTATTCTCTCATATCTAGGCCCAAATGTACCACTCACAGTTTATCAGAGTGAGCTGAGCTCATGACGTAGATCTACGGTTTGGACCCTGAACGTAAAGCTGTAGATCTACGGGACGGACCCTGAAAGGGTTAAATTAACTGAAATGCAATTAATTCATTCCAGCTGAATTCCTGCTCTCAGGAGGCATGACAAAATAACCCTAATATCAACTCTACGGCTTATTTATGTCAAAATTCATCTAATATGACATAATAAACAATATAAATAACATAGAAACTTGATATACACTCTAGAATGAATAAAATATGTCATGTGGATAGCAGAGGGAGGAGGATTGTGGTCGAACATTCTAGCTATGAAAACGTCAAGAAGCGTTACGGAGTTTGTGAGGCTAACTGAATTAGATCTGGTATACATACGACAGTTACATATCTTGGAGAAGAAATGCAGAGCGGCATATCCTGTCAGGAATTCACACTTTTCTTAAGGACTGTTATATACAATTTTTATGTTTATCTCACTACACTACATATCTCCTGTGAGCGGTTTCTCCGTCAACCATGTAAACAGCAGCTTTTCCCTCTTTATATTGACAGAGGACGGCTGCTTAGAAATTACTGTAATGCCCTTTGCTGGCGCTATAGCCTTTATAGACTCCTCCTGTTTTAGTGTTGCACACATAGTAGATTATTATTATTATTATTATCATTATTATTATAATCATGGGGAAGTGCTAAACCCGTAGGTACATATAGTAGAGGGGCTATGCTTGTACTCACTCGCCAAATCCTCAACCCTCGTACCTAGTCTGTGCTTATTAATAATTACTTGCTTTAACCCTTTGACTGTCGCAAGCAGCTTTCTGAAACTGTCATTCTACGTCGCAAAATTTTTGGAAAAAAAAAAAAAAAAAATTCTTGTGAAATAATAGAGAATCTTTTCCTGATGGTAATGACACCAAAAGTACAAAATTTGGTCAAAAACTCACGGAATTACGGTCCCGCAAAGTTAGCGGTCTCGGCGACACATGCGCATCGACGATTTCGCCGACTTTGAGCCCTATTTTTGGTCAATTCCGTTGTTCCATTTGGCCAAATTCAGACCTATTTCTTTAGACCTCCATTTTTTCTATCAACTGAGTACAAGAAACAGCCCATTTACCAATTTGAATTACCCAATAAAGTGATCAGAATTTAGGAATTTGGCCAATTTCATGCAAATTAAAAAAGATGCCAATTTCAAAATAGGGTCCAGAATAAACAAAAAAAAGACATTCTTGGCACTAAAATAACATATCCTCTGTTCATTAGTCACGTCTCTAGGCCCCTCTTATATTACTATTGCTTTCTATTTTGATTTTTTATTCATACAAAAAATAGAAGATTTACTGTTATGCAGACTACTGCATTATTATAAAAATGGTATAAATAACATCAGTGCACTAGTGAAAGAATATTAGACTCCCCAGTTGATGTGTATTGGACGTGTGGTGTGATTTGCTTACTCTTGAACATTGGGAAAAATCGAACATTTCCGCTACTTTGAGCTCAATTTCATTTCCATTTTATCACATGAGACCATGAAAACGAGAATATGTACAATGATAAATACTATACGAAAATACACCTCAAATTCTGCGTTTTATTACGAAAAAAAAAAAACGGTCGAGCTTTTTTTTCTCATTGTGCACTGCGTGCTGCAGGATTTTTTTTATATGTTGCACACTGACCACACGGACCCATTCTCTCACATGTGAGCCTACCAGCTTTCTCCTGCTTGATTTGAAGCCGCTAGAATAACAGTATATGTACATATGTCCGAAACACTGGCTCGTAAGACGTATATATATACACACGTCGAAAACAGTCAAAGGGTTAATCCCATGCAAATCATCCTCTTTTTCTTCTCGGCACTGTCCTCTGCACTTGCTTTCTTAGGATCCATAGTTAGAAGGAAGAAATCAGGCTAATTAACTGCACGAAACAAAAGGAAATCACAAGAATTCCTTGCACCGCGAGGGTAACTCTGTAAGCACAGGTACACTGGTGAGCACTGTGGTGGTGTTGTCAAACTAAATTATACGCAGTACATACATAGTATTATTATAATTATTGTACTATTACGTATTATATATCATATATTATTCTTATTATTATATAGCATTACATATATTATTATTATACAGTGATCCCTCGTTTTTCGTAGTTCTCGGGAATCATAGATTTCGGAAATCATAGGGATATTTTCGTATAAACATGGGCTCACTAATCATAGATTAACTAGCGAATAGTAGTTCGTCTGGGACGCGTACACACGGTGTGATCCAGGGCGGCCTCCCTACCCAGCCAGTCTGGCATTGTTTACCAGTGAGCGAAGGTCCCCTCACGTGCTCCTACGAAATATTTCATAATACAGTGGACCCCCGGTTAACGATATTTTTTCACTTCAGAAGTATGTTCAGGTGCCAGTACTGACCGAATTTGTTCCCATAAGAAATATTGTGAAGTAGATTAGTCCATTTCAGACCCCCAAACATACACGTACAAACGCACTTACATAAATACACTTACATAATTGGTCGCATTCGGAGGTAATCGTTATGCGGGGGTCCACTGTATTTCACTCATTTTAGTGCTTGCAAGTACTAAATAAGCTACCATGGCTCCAAAGAAAGCTCCTAGGGCCAAGCTTGGAGAAAATTGTGGCCAGATTGTGTTGACAAGAGGGATTTTGAAGGGTTTGAGACTGACCCTGATGAGCCTATGTCTGTTGTAAAATCAATTGTGGCACTGGGAAGTTCCATGGGGTTGGATGTGAGTTTGGAGGATGTGGAAGAGTTGGTGGAAGACCACAACGAAGACTCACCACTGAGAAAGGGGCTGCAAGAGCTTCAGCCCGGAACAGCAACAGAACGCAGCTCAGAATCTTGCGGCAGAGGAGGAGGAAGAGAGACGGAAGAAGGTGCCTTCTTTAGAAAAATTTAAAAAGATTTTTGCTATGTGGGGGAAGATGGAAAGCTTTATGGAGAAACACCACCCTGACAAGGTTGTTGCAAGCCAGGTCG